TTTTTTTTTTTTTTTTTTTTTTTTTTTTTACAGCTGACACATACTTACTGCAGAAAACTCAAGGAGCTTTTCAAAGCACCTGCTAATTTTGTGGCCATCTACCCTTTTGTGCAGTTGTCCTAAGGAGTGCAGATGCTGGGAACGACGTTACCTCCCCCAGGCAAGGTACCATAGACAAAAACTGTTAATTACTACAGGCAAAATAGATGACAATTACTACAGACRGCATAGATGATGTAAGGTAGGATGACGTACCCGTAATCAACCTTCATGTGTTGTCCATTGAAGAAAAAGATGGTAGATGGGATGTAACTGATGTCGAAATACTGGGTGTACACCGGCACCTTGTCCACATCCACCAGGTAGATGACTGCCATTTTACTAAGGTCATGAGATGTCTTTGCAAGCTGAAGGGAGGAAGAAAGATAGAGGACGACCGAATGGACTGAGAAACAAGCAGCGTTTGTGTGGGGAAATACGGCATGCCTTAAAATCTCACCTTCCTTTGTGCCTTATCATTTTAAGGTGGGCCAAATTACTGCCAGAACACCACACCATATCAAGAACTACATCAAACACTCCATACTCTGCCAGCAACATATGTCTGTTACTCCACTTTATGCTCAACTGTCACCATGCAAACACCTGAAAGCAACATACGTTATTCTCTTTCATGCAGCAGGCATAACATCAGAGTTTATTTAGATTAAAATATATACATATTATTGTATTTAAGGGGAAAAACAAACACACAAAAAGCTCTTACAATATCATCCAGCTGCATGCAAACGGCGTCCTGATCTCTTCCGAAGCGAAGGACCAACACCTTCTCGGCCACGGTTTTTATTGCCTGGTCCACCTCCTTCTTGGTGCTCAGCTGGGGCAGCAGGAAGCTCATCCCGCCGGCGCCCGTCCCGCGGCTCCCGCGACCAACGCACCCCGCGGCCACGCGCAGCCCCTCAACGCCCGCCCGCCGGCGCGCCCGGCACCGCCCGGCGCATGCGCGCCCTCCCGCCGCCGCCCGGCGCATGCGCGGCGCGGCCGTTGCGCCGCGTGTGCCGCTCTGTTTCCGTTGGCGTGCGGAAGGAGGCGGGCAACGGCGTCGGGCGGAGCGCGCGGGACGGGCCGCGCTGAGGGGCCGGGGCGGGAGACGCTCTTTGCTGCCGGCTGCCTGCCCGCCGCTCCCGCTGACCTGGGGAGCCCCTTCGCTTCCCCCGCCGCGCACAGTGTTCCCCGCGGGACGGTTTGGGGCGGGGGCTTTAACGGTTCGTTTCGACCGTTGGGCGGGCGGAGCGTTGCCGAGGGCCTCGCGCTACGGGCGAGTGCTGAGGGCGGTTCTCAGCTCCCCGGTCCGGAGGTTTCTGGAGTGATTCCCGCGGCGGTGGCGCCGCAGCGCGCTCGGCGACTTGGAAGGTAAACGGGTTTGCTACAGATGTAGCGACACTCCCTAAATCTGCCTACTTTACATTGTCTTAATCGCAGCTGCGCTAATATAAACTGATTGGGGCAGTGATCCCATATTTTACCCACCCTTTTAGTGTTTTTCTCTCCATAAACCACTTACGTTTAAATACAAATTTGCCGTGAAATTAATTGGACTGTGCAGCACGTGTTTATGTTACGTTTATGTGCTGGCATCAGTTTCATGAAGAATTTAGGACTAAGAAAGCCTGTTTCGGTGCTAGTTGTTGGTACCATTAGTTCTGGTGTCCTGTGAGTAAGTGCTAAAGAAGTTTYCCCAGAATCTAATGATAAGAGTAAAAACGGGATCTTCTGTGATGTAAACATACCCGAGAAAGCAGAAGGCATCTTGTTGTGGTCTTGTGATGGCCAAAACCAGGCCTTGTGGTGGCCTGCATGCTTCTAATGCAAAGGTTTATTATCATTTATTATCACTTATCGAACTATGCAGATAAATATTGTCTGAGATCTTATTTCAGTTAATGGTTGGGTGACCAAGTTTAAGTTGCGGTAAGCACAGCTGATGTTTTAAGCAGCAACTTTGTCTCTTTACAGCAGTGCCACCAATATTGTTATTTTTGTACTGTTGATAAGTGAAGTGAAAGCACAAACTTCTTGTGTTCCTGAAAAAGCAAGGTAATGTTTGCCAGTGTCGCTACAGCTGAAAGGCTGTGTTTTCTCGAGGACCACTGACAGTTTTTTTCCCCCTTCCCCTCTTATCTTACCACAGTTTTGAAGATACGTGCTGGGACCCAGCCCATGTCTAAATATGCAGGCTGTGAATACACTTCTGAAAAACTTTGCCAAGTGCTCTGCCTTTCACCTGGCTGTGCGACATGGGGTGAAAAAGGACTTGTTTCCACTCCATAGAACTCTGGTCTTATCACCTTGCTTGAAGGAGGGTGCTTCGCACAGCRCCTCTGAAAAGCTGGATTTAGACGAGTGGAAGAAGGTAATGAAATCCGGGGTGCCGGAAGCCAGCRAGGCAGGGTCTGAGCACAAGGAGCTCTCCACTGTGGCTGCTGCGCGTGAGGCTGTGGAGATGTGGAGACTGGCTGGCAGGGCAGTTCCTGAAAATATCAGTGATGACCAGCTAAAAACCTTAATGGAGTGCCCTTCTAAGGCATCTAAGAAGAAATATTTGAAGTTCTTGTACATAAAAGAACTTTACAAGAAAAGTGACAAAAGAAAGATGGAAGAGAAAAGGGAAAGAAGGCTGGAARCCCAGGAGGAGAGAGATTCAAAACCAGATGAGATCAAAAAGAATTCATTCACCTGCTTGTGGACCAATGCTATGGATAGAACATATAACTGGAGGGTCGCTCAGTCTATGATCTTTGGCCAGCCTCTAGTATTTGACATGTCTTTTGAAAGTGATATGTCACCCAGAGAAGTAGCCAATACGGTTAGACAGATAGTATTCAGTGAAAGTTCTAACCGAAAATCTGTGGATCCTTTCCACATTCACTTCTGTAACTTCCAAGATAACAGCCAGTACCACAGGGAATTCATCAAGCATTACAGACAGGCATGGGACAAATTACTTATCACTGTGACAGAGCGGTGCTACACGGAAGTGTTTCCGAAGAACAAGATCATCTATCTGACAGCTGATTCCCCCAACGTCATGAAGACATTTGATCACGATAAAGTCTACATCATTGGCTCAATGGTTGACAAAAGCATCAAGACAGGAGTTTCTTTAGCACGAGCAAAACGGTTGGGGCTGGAAACTGCCAGCCTTCCACTGGAGAAGTACTTGCTTTGGAATACAGGTGCTAAAAATCTCACGTTGGATCAAATGATGCATATTCTATTAACGCTGAAAGATACTGGAGACTGGAAGAAGGCTCTGGAATTTGTGCCAAAAAGGAAATATTGTGGCTTTGTAGGCAAGTCTGTGAGTGATCTGAAAAAAGGCTTAAATCTGGTGAACGYGCTTAAACTTGGAAAGAAACAGGAAGTACAAAAAAGGCAATTTGCCAAGAACTACTCTAAGAAGCTTATACAGAAGTAGGGTGATTAGGAAGAGAATGAAATTTAGAGATAAATTATGCTCTTGAATACTTGTGTTCTCCTGCTGTAGTCTTTCAAAAATGTTTTTGTTAGTCTTGACAGACTAATTTGACAGGACTGATGTTTTCTTTATTAGTATTACAGCTGTTTGTGTATATTCTCAGATTTATTGAAACTGTGTAAAAAAAAAAAAAAAAAAAAGCGATAATCTGCTCTCCAGACTGAACCATTAAAAGAAGGTAAATATCTTCCATTGAGTCATTCTAGTACTGGAGTGATTTTAACAGAACTGTAACAAATCTAGGGGGGGTTGTTTGGTTTGTTTTTCTGTGGGAAATAAAAAAAAAAAAGCATGATTTTGAGTTTGCGCACTGAGGCAATCCATGCTCTTACTCTGAAAGGTTAGCTAAAACCATATAGAAGAGCTTTTTTTGTTAGGTCTTGGGTCTTCCTCATGTGGATGAGAACTCATGTTGGCTGGTGTCAGGAACAGCGTAGCTAGCAGGACCAGGGAAGGGATTKTCCCCCTGTACTCGGCACTTGTGAGGCCACCCCTTGAATACYGTGTTCACTTTTGGGCCCCTCACTGCAAGAAGGACATGGAGGTGCTGSAGCGTGTCCAAAGGAGGGCAGTGAAACTACTGCAGGAGCTGGAGCCCAGACCTTGCAAAGAGAGCTGGAGGAGCTGGKGTTGTATAGTCTGGAGGAGGCTGAGGGGAGATATTAGCGCTCTCTACAACTACCTGAAAGGCGGTTGTGCTGAGGTGAACATCAGTCTCCAGAATAACTGCTGATGGAACAAGAGGAGATCACAGAAATGGCCTCAGGTTCCCTCAGAAGAGATTCAGATTGAACATTAGGAAGAATTTCTACCCAGAAAGGGTGGTGAAGCCTCGGAACGGGCTGCCCGGGGAAGGGGTACAGTCCCCGTGGCTGGCGGTGCTCGAAACACGTGCAGATGAGGCATTAGGGCCGTGGCTTAGCGGGCACACTGCGGATGGGTTTACAGTTGGACTGGGTGATCCTGAAGGCCTTTTCCAAGCACAATGATCCTGCGATCCTACGCATCCTGAGAGCGGCCGAGCGCTGCCGCCGGCAGCCGTAACGGCCGGGAGCGTAACGGCCGGGAGCGTAACGGCCGCGCGCCCAACGGCCACCGCCTCGCGCGCCCTCATTGGCCGGGCCGCGCCAGGCGTCGCCTTCGTCACTGCTGCCGCGACGCCGAGGCGCGGCCGCTCTCTGAGGCCGGTGGGAGGAGCGCGGCGGCGCGCAGGCGGGGCGCGCATGCGCGGCGCGGGCGGTGGCGGAGGCCGGCGAAGATGGCGGACGGCAGAGCGGAGGGGCCCAAGGCGAAGCGGCCGCAGCCCGCAGGAGGTGAACGCGCCGCGCCGCTTGCCGCGGGGACGGGGCCGCCGCTCTGGATGGAGGCGTTGGGGGCGGGTGGAGCCGGGGCGGCCACCCCCGGCGGGGCCGCCCCGCGGGGAGAGAGGGGCGGCGGGGCCTGGGGGGGCGGCGGCGCCGCGTCGAGGAGCGGCCTGTGGCCCGCGCCTCGGGCCCTGCCCCGCACGGGCCTCCCGCACCCCACCCGGAGGGCTGTAGCCAAGGAAAACGAGAATTACCCACCCCCCACCCCCCCCAAAAAAAACCCCCCCCCCAAAAAAAAAAAAAGAAAAAAGAAAGAGTTTGAAAGTATTTGCACTTCCGTGGCTCTGAGAGGAACTTGAGCAGCGGCGCAGGGCAAAGCGCCCCGAGGCCTGTCCGTTAACGGCCCGGCGCGCGTGCCGTGTTGAGCGGCGCGCACGCGCGCGCGCACGCGCAGGGGCGGGCGCGCGCAGGGGCGGGCACGCGCACGCGGCGAGCTGCGCCCCGCGGCGCTGGAGCCGGCACTGCGCCCGGGGCTTCCCGCTGCGCGCTTCAGGTGGGAGCCCCGAGTTGAGGAAGGAGCGKGTCCTTGCACACCTAAAGCTGCCCTGTGTTTTTAAATTTAAGTGTATCTAGAAATAGAGGACGTTTCTTTGATCTGTTGGAAGATTAAATTAAGCCAGTAAACCAATTAGAGTAGGTCTTGACAGTGAGTGCTTGTGCTGATAGTGCTTAGATTATGTATAGGAATGCCTGCTTCGAAGCGCCTCCTCAGCTCACAGCACTTTCTCTTTCCTCCTTTTTTGATAGTACAACAATTGGATCATGTCAGTTTGCCAGGCGTCCATAGTGTCCTGCGGACCACCTGGTGGGCTGGGGCACCATCTTAGTGAATTGTGCTGCATTGGCCCTCCTAAAGAGCTGCGTTAGTGTTTTCTCTGAATGATTTTTAAGAACAAGTTTAGGGCCTTTAGATTTTGCCAAGTTTTTTTGTTTTTTTTTTCCTTTCTTTTTTCTTTTTTTTTCTTTTAATGTATGACATGGTTTTCTCAGCAGGAACAGGCTTGAGCCCCAGAGGCAGGAGAGCCTCCAAAACATCTTGGGCTGGTTAACACCTCCCTACCCTCAAATCACCTTCCTGGCTACGGTGTGCCAAGATACAGTTCTGACTGAATATTCTGTGTTAGGTGGTTTCATGGGTGAGCTGTAAACTGCTTCCCTAAGCCTCACACGCTGCTGTTTAGGAAGCTATGCTAAGACAGCAGGCAGGACCCAAGGTCACTTTGTCTGCTTCTTTTTAACCTTTTGTCACTTTTATGGCCCTACTTTCTGGGTCAAATTTCTAGTGGTACAGAATACTACTAGAGTTCTTGATATTTAAATTATTGTTATTGTTGTTGTTGTTTTTATCTGCTGTGCTCCAAAAGTGAATACATACCTATTTTTGCTGAGATTGCTTATTGTTATCCTGATGCCTGGAGGAGTGAAATAAAGAGGGTGTATTTCCTTGCAGAGACAATGCTTCTGATTTGGGAAATGGCACTAAATCATATCTGAATGGTGGGCAGGTAGTGAGCGCCCTGTGTGTGGATGCTTGAAGAAAAGCAATATGGAACCGTTAGATACTTAAATTATTCCAAGTTAGCCATTTTTCCTCAATTGTCTTAATTTTCAAACCTTTCTATTTTTCTCTTGCAGATTTCCCCATTTGCCTAGTTTTTCTTTCTGACGTTTGCCTCCCCTAAAGCTRTCGTTTTGGCAACCCTGAGCTCAGCTGAGCCGGCTTCTCCCTCGCTGCTCTCTCCCCAGTTTAAGAGCTTTTTGCTGCGAGAGGGCAGGGTGAGGCATGGCCTTCCCTGGCAGTCTCGGTTCGCTGTGGGGGCATCCTCTCGGGTCCCCTATAACGAGGCACTCATGCTAGCTATAGATATTAGACTTCTCATATGGACTTTTTCCTGTTCATTCCCCAGTGTGCTGCCTTTTTTTWTTWATTTTATTTTTCTTCTTTTGCTATTGCAGCAGCAGAGAAATGTATTTTTGCTGAAATACCTTGCTAAATTCAGAATAAGCTTTTCCAAGGACACCTTTGCCCCTTGGTTTAGCTGAAGAAGCCATCTGTATAGGAAACAAAAATGAGATTTCAGTTTTCTGCTGTGTGAATCATTATTTTCCATGATTATGTACAGAAGCTGAAAAGAAAATAATCTACCTATACATATATATGTTTTTCTAGGCTGATTCCWTCCTCAAGCAGAGTTGGCAGCTTTATTAAAGATGAGATGCAGACAAGCAGTGACTTGAAACGTCACACTGGCCACCGGCCTCACTGTAGTCGCTTTTGTGGTTTTAGAATTGTGCCAGACAGGCCTAGAGACTGGCATGGACATTGTGGGTTGCTTTTTGTTCTTTCTTTTTTCTTTTTTTGGTAGAAATGTAGTAGAATTAATTTTAAATTAGATTTATCTACTCTAGGTTTGGAATTGGGATTCCAAGTATGAAAGTTATTTATTACAACTTAACCCCTAAAAGGCAGATGTAGTCATCTACATATAATGTGCTACATGAACGTTGACTTCTGTACTAAGTAAAGAGATGGTGCTTCRAGATGCTTTTCCTGGCTCATGTACAAGAAGTTCTTTGCAAGTAATGGAATACTTGCAGTGTCTTCTGCTGTTTGTGTTTTGCTGTCCACTAAATGTACACTGATGGAAACTGTCACTAAAAGCACCTTACCTATTGCACCCAAAGTATAATGCTTTATGAGGTTGCTGCTCCCATCAATCTGCTCAGTAAAAATAGCTCATCTTGGTAAGTTGTTTCGACTTCACCAGGACCTGAAGAAGAGGCAGAAAAACCTGTGAAAACTAAGACTGTTTCTTCCAGTAATGGAGGGGAAAGTTCGAGTCGCAGCGCAGAGAAACGAGCGGCTAATGAAGAAGCTGAAGACTTCACCACAAAGCCTGCTCCTGCCAAAATGTCCAAGTTTGGATTTTCCATAGGCAGTCAGACAACCAAGAAGGCCTCTGCAATATCCATCAAACTAGGAGCAAATGTAAGTTCTGAGGGCTTTACGTTTTAAGGAGATCGCAGCAAAGGGGGAGTGCTTTGGGGGTGCTTCCTTGCATAAGGAAAGCCTTGAATTAAATGCAGGTCACTTGAATCAAGTTTAAGAAGGCCTTGCAGGGCCACCTAGTCAGACATGTGTAAGTATTTAGAGGCAATTAATAGCAGATGAATTGTCTCAGGATGCACAAGTTTGTTGCTTCAAGTTAACTGTCGGTAGTCTTTGAACGTACAGGATAACTCAGTAATGAAATCTGATAGACTGGAATAATCTCCTGAGGGAAATTAGAAGACCTGTTAAACTGTTCAGACCACTTTGAAATTAGTACTGGGAGCTCAGTGGCTTAGTATGCTTAAAGCTACATGAGTGTACCCTACCATGTAGGGACTCCACTGTGGGGTCCCCAGGGTCATCTGTCACTCCAAAGATCTTACTTTTTTGCATAGAGAAGATTTGTTGCTGTTGTTTTTCCATAACTTTGCCTGTTTTTTAATGGGGCCAGTGAGTCATTTAATATATTGCAGTTTGAGTCAATTAAAGATTTTTATTTTTGACAAGATTATCTAAATAACATGCGAGAGATGAGACTTTATGCTGTAGTTTTCCAAGATCCTGATCTCCCTGGTATTGTCCAGTGTGAGTTATCCTGGTGCTTGTTCCAAAGTGAATCTGGTATTTCCCTTTATTACCAGAACAGACCTCTAGAAACTTGGGCAAGGACAGTGCGGGTGCTGCCTCCTTGTTTAATGCAGTTCATTTGTACCTGCCACATACCCCTGTGATGGATACATTAAAATCCTTCTCCGGATTCATTTCAAAATGGGTCCTGACAGACCTGCACCTGCAATTGCAGTATTTTACACCTCTGCAGAAGATGAAGAGTGCTTGTTGTCCCTCCAGATGGGAGCGGGGTGTGGGCTGGCAGCATTTTAGGGTGCAAACAAAATCGGGTCAGCTCGGGCTTAGGAAGCRTTGACAAAGCTGCCTCCTGAGGCACAAGCAAGCTCAGCTTTCTCATGCAGAAACTTATCTCCGGTGTCAGTAAATTTGGTTCAGGATTTCTGGCTTGCTGAATTCAGTGAGTGACTGACGCAGCACCAGACCTTGCAGTGATACACCTCACTCTGCTGCTCTTTGATCATTTTCCCCCCTTTCCCRTGGGGTTGGTGCTTTGAGAAGGGCACAAAACTGAGGCATTGTACCCTGTGGGTCAGGAATTGCTGGGGTCCTGAGGGCTTTGCGGTATCAACATCCAAGCTGTGGATGTAGGCAAAGTAAGGACCACAGAGTCAGGAAGTGCATTAGGTGACTCAGTACAGTAGAAGCAAACTGTTATTGGTGGCTTTACACTATATTTCTTAGAGGGTCTGAAAATTATGTTTAATCGTGTTACGTATAACGTAACAGCTATGAGTGTGATAGCTTGATACACTTGAAGTAGAGGAAGGTACTTACTGGGAATCAAAATAAAGGAGCTTTATTTTCATTCAGCCTCAGCAGTATGGTCTATGCTGACGGTAGTTAAAAAGTATTGTATTGCTTTAAGCCAGAAAGCTGTTAAGCTGTTAAAAGAAGAGAAATGTATTCAGATTCCTGAAGGTGATAGGTAAGAATAGAATGATGGAAAGAGTGAGGTAGTAAAATTTTGAATACTGCAACTATATTTGGGTTCTGATTTAATTGTCATGCACCAGAAGCTGCGTGTCCCTGCAGTGTGTGCTAAACGTCAAGATTTGCTCGTGGGGAAGTGTAGCATGAGGTTTGACCAGCTTTCCAGAATGCATCTTGCATGAGTGAGTGGGTGTTTTCCTGACTGATTAACCAGAAATTTCATTCAGTGTGGTTCAAACTAAAACTTGGCCCTGTTGTTACCCCACTCAATTACAGGGAAGATGCTTAGCCCCATTTTACCAAGTTATTTCAAATATCAGGGTATCTCTAGTCTTGCTTGTTTGTTTGTTTGCTTGGTTTAAGGTAGCTTATTTTACTTGTGCTCTTTGTCTTTTTCAGAAGCCTAAAGAGCCTGTTCCAACCCTCGCTCCAAAAACCCTTTCTGTAGCAGCAGCTTTCAATGAAGATGAAGATGTGAGTAATGAGCTGATGGTTGCCACAGCTTTAATTATGATTGGTGTAGGTTAGAGTAAGGCAGAGTGGGCAATTTAAGCTTCTTTACATAATTGCGGGCCGTTTAAGTTTCTTTACATAATTGGCAATGAGTTTCATGTTAGAAACCTCTTGTGTTCTCTTAAAAATGTACAATTTTGGAAGTCTGTGATGGTTCAAGAAGTCGTTAAATAGGCTGATATGTTTTGGTTGTGTGCACGTGCTGCATAGCTGTGCCTAACTGCCAACAAGACAAACTGCTAGATTCCTGTCCTATGCCAAGCATGTTTCCTGAAGGCTGTGAAATACTCTGCTTCTCTYTCAAAGTGTTGCGCTTGTCAGCATCCTCTTATACCGAGATGAGCAAAGGAACTTATACTCATTTCTTTTCCTAACCTTTCAGAACCTCTTTTTCTCCCTAAATCAGCTTTCTGCAGGGCAGTACTCTGTGTTTTATCTTGCCGTAGTCATACTGAGCTGAGCTRAACTCGACTCCTCCTCTCTTTGTAGAGCGAACCTGAGGAAATGCCGCCGGAAGCCAAGATGCGCATGAAGAACATTGGGAGGTGGGTCGGCTTCCAGCCGGGGCGTGGAGTGGCGCGAGCACCTTCTCCAGGCCAGGGCACACGGGTTAGAAACGTAGGAGAAGARGAGAGCTGGTGATCTGGCCGAGACGACGACTGCAAGTCTTGCTGATTGTTGCTAAATTCCATATTTTTCCTAGTACCCATTTTATAAATGGCCCTGAAGTAGGATAGTGTGCTCAGGTTTTTAAACTCCCGCGCATGAGGAAGATGGGAATTGCCTCTTTCTGAAAAACACAAATAACCTCTTTACTTTTGGAATATATATATATTTATATTACTCTTTTTGATATAAACCTGAGACAATCCTAAAAATATAAAATGAAATACAACAGAGACATTTTTAAAGAAGCCTTCACCTAAGTGGGGTTGATKCTGAGCATTTACCTTTTTTCAAGGTGTTTATCATGACAGACTGCTATTAGAGTTCAGCTTTTTTGTTGCATTTTTCCAGCAGCTGATTAGCAGCAGTTCCAGCCACTTCTCCCTCTGCTGCTGCCCCATCTCGACGCTCTGTCTGCACGTGCTGCACAGAGCTCGGTTCTGTGGCCAGCAAAGACTTCGCAGTAGCAATGACTCCCAGTTTCCTTATTGGRAAGTGGTAGTTGCCCGTTCCTGATGGCAGAGTTAAAAGTTGTTCAGTTGTTTTGAAGTTAATCAATTGACTTTCTCAAAACAAAATCTCGTTTTACTCTTCACAGGGATACCCCAACCTCAGCAGGACCAAATTCYTTCAATAAAGGAAAGCATGGCTTTTCTGACAACCAGAAGCTATGGGAGCGGAATATAAAATCTCACCTTGGAAATGTCCATGACCACGAAAACAACTGAATGATGTGGATTGAGACCTGGGGGTCTGGGGGAGGGGAGGGTGTAACATTAAAGGAACAGTTTCCTTTTTTAAGAATGGTCTAAGACTTTGGAGCCGCTTTTTTAAGATTTGAGTGGTACAGTAATAACTGAGTTYGAAATTAGAGGTAATTTATGTTTTGTATACAGATTTCAAGGCATTTGCTAATTTTGTAGTTCCATGTGATTAGTTTCAAAAGGTTACAGATAATAAAGGAATTGGAGTGGTACCTTTTCAAGATTTTTTTTTTTTTAATTTTAATTTTTATTCTTTTTGGTCAGCGATGACTAAGGTGGATGAAAAAGGTTACTGTCTCTTTAATCAGGCTATTGTTGAATGCTTTTGCATTCCCACTTCTGGCTCCCTCTCAAACAGGAGGAACAGTTGGCTCCTGAGAATACAGTTTAAAGCAAGCGAGCATTGTTTTGTGCTAGAAGTGTTACTGGACTATTAATTTGAGTATAAACTTAAACAACAGAACTATTAAAAACCTGGAATTATTTTTCCCTAGAGTCATCTTTTGTTAAGCCTCTGCAAACTAGGAATTCTGTTGCTCTGAGTGGCTCTGGTAACTTAGCTCTAGTTTTGTTTAAAACTTCCTGTAGCGTGTGTAACATTCTGTGGCCTGTTTCACTGTAAGGAAATAGGTCTTGTCTGTATATTAGATACAGCCTGTAAGGAATATTTCACTACAAAGGTAAACCTTAAGCAGAATACTTTCAGTGTGTTCCTCTTCAGTCCTTAGCAATGAGTAGTGCTTGTTAGCATTTCCTTGTGCATTAACTAGAGACTAATACTAAAGGCAGCAATTATTGATATAGAAAAGCCACCACCAAGAAAGATACAATAAGCTTTCCATTTGGTTGAAATACTTTTCTTTACTATGCCTAAAAAGAAATAAAAGCCACACCAAAAAAAAAGGAAAAATCAGTAACTCACTGCTTAAGTATAAAAAGTCCAAGATGCACTTTCCCTGTCTGGCCATAGAAAACAAAACGCCTTGATGCCTGGGGCTGCAGTGGACACTATCGGGTTTAAAAAGAGAAGTATTTGTAGTGCTAGTAACTCTGCCAAGTGGCAGCTTGGGCAGTGAAACCTGCCCTTGTTCTGCCTTTCTGCCCCGGGCAATAGAAGCCCCTGGGCTGCTCGCTTTAACTTGGCGGCACCTTGTGACCTGGGAAGGGCTGCCTGGTTTTCCGTCTAGCTTGGATTAAATGTTAGTAAAACAACCAATCTGGCAAAAATAGTTGCGGGAAAAAAAGATGAAGGAAAAGAAGGAGAAGAAGAAGAAGAAGAAGAAGAAGAAGAAAAAAGGCTCTCTTTGTATTCAAGTACCTGATAGTGTCTACAGTTAAATTGATTTCAGTCTGGAACTGGTTGTAGAGTTCAATACATTAGTTGCTTTTGTCCTGCCTTTTCATACCTTTCTTCATGCTAAGCTGTCAGTGCAGAAAGGAAAGTGCATCTTCCAGTGTATTTTTTTTTTTAAGAAAGCTCTTACCACATAGACTTTTGAGTTTGTAAGTTCTGAAAAGTATTTTTTGTATTTTTGTATTGTATGTGTAATCTTTTTTCCTTTCAAGTCTGATGCAGTTGAATACCTGTAACTATTTTCTTTAAAAGCCTTGTTATAAACATAACATAAAAACGTATAGCTTTTTTTTTACTTTTTTTTTTCCATAGCAGAAATACTTGATTTATATTAACACTTCCAGAACTGAACTTCAAGACTTCCAGAGCTGATTTTGGTGTCATTGGAGCCAGGCAAGGCAAAATGAAGCTTCTGCTTTTCACTTACTTCTCTCGCGTGTGGTTATATTTGTTCGGAGTCACCCCTTCCAGGTAGCGGCACCTCACACCGTGCAACCTTTCCGTAAGGGTCGCCTCATACCTTGCCTGATGCTTGTGTTCGGAGAAAGCCAAAGGGAGAGGCTCCGATAAGAGTGGCAGGGCACTCGCATCCCATCTCTCTCCCGTCTCCCCTTGCTGCTGCTCCAGTTGTCCCTGTGTCAGCCCCAGAGGGGCAGCGTTGCAGCAGGGACCCGCTGGTGCCTCGGAGCTGCGCGGGGAAGCGCTCGGCACAGCACTGGGAGGCTGGGAAGGGCCTGCCCTGCAGCTTGGGTAGCGAAGGCAGCGTCCCTATCTTCCTCACCCTCTGAGGAGCGTAGCCTTGGGAGAGACTCCGGGAGAGTCGGGGCCTCTGCGGAGAGCAAGCCGGGATCCCGCGTCTCCCGGCACGTGGATTTGGAGCTCTGTTGCAGCGCTGCGCGGGAGAGGATTCACTGGGATTGCCTAAACACGGGGGGATGAGGCTTGGCCTTGTGGCTGCGTGGGTGCCTGCAGCTGCTCCGAGGTCACCCTTGTGCAGGAGAGCTGCTCCAACCGGGAATGCTGCCGGGGCGAGGAAGTAGGGGCTTAAGCTGGGTCTGCAGTCAGGGGCGCTTGCTACGGGGGGGAGCGAAGCTCGTGCCAGGGGAGGCAGCTGCGCTGGGGCCGCGCGCGAGCCGCCCCCRAAGCACCTGCCCTTCAGCCGCCACGCTGCGCTGCCGCAGCCTCCATTCCCGCCCCTTGGGAATCCCTTGGACCGAGGGTGTCGAGCACCGCACGCCGCTTCAGCGCCCGTGTCGTCCTGGTGGGGAGGCACCTGCTGCGGAGCCGTTGGCTGCGGCTTCCCCAGCAGCCGCTGGGGACGAAACTACTGGAATGGCTGGTAGAGGAGTCGGAACTGGGATTCTSTCTGGGTTGTGCAGGCAAGGCAGTGATTCGGATCGGTTTGGAGGAGCCGCATCTTCAGGACAGCCTTGTATTTGCTTAGCTCAGCAGCCAGCAGAGAGTTCTGCGAAAAGAGGGGTCATCTTCCCTGATTTTCATACTGTAGAAATTGGAGGATGACAAGTTTTCCCTTCTGCTCCAGAAGAGAAAGTTACATTTCAAAATGGCCRTAACGGTCCAATTTTCCTTCTAAGGCCAAGAAGCATCTGAATTACACAAAAATGGGACAGTCTGTGATTTAATTTTTTGCTTGATGCTACCAGCAGCTCCCCATTTTTTCCTGTTCTGTTTAGCAGATGCATCACCTGCTGTTGCTGTTCTCTAGTTTTGATACAAAAATACAAACTGGCACCTAAAACTAGGTAGTGTTTAGCTTTGAGCACTTGCCTACGGGATCACACATAGTTATCACCCATGTAATTAGAAAAACCACAACACTATTATGTGTCACCTCAGAACTCCTTAAGTTTCTCYTCATGGGTTTCTCCTCAGAGCCTGGAGCAAATCCAAGCAAGAGCTTTAGTTCCGAGGGGGATGAACTTGGATCTCGGCCCCGTCCGGGCGCTGCCTGGGGCCGGGGGTGTCGCGGCGCGCAGGCCACGCGCGGTTCCCCCCGCGCCGCAGCCGCCCGCGGGAGCACTCGGAAGCCGAACCCTTGGCTCAGGCTGTCGTGGGGCGGGTGGGTCTGCCCCTTGGTTGCGCTCCCGAGGAGGCGGACGCAGAGCCGGCCTCGGCAGCGCCGTGGCCCCAGCTGCAGGAAGCTCCCGAGCTCCCGCGGGGCTTTCCTGTCGCCTCTCGCGCGCACAGTGTGGACTGAGATGGGTGCGTGAGACAGCCACACGGACGTCTGTCACCAAAAGCAATCGGGTCTCTCCTGRGTGTGATGACTTAGTGCTTTCCTTCTCTCTCCTGACAGCACRTACAGCATTCTCTCTCATGACAATATTTGGGCTTAAAAATTTTGCTCTTCCTCTCAGTGTTTGTAAGGACAGCGACTGAGGAGCTGTGGGGAGCGCTTTGTATTGCGCGCTTGTACTTTTCTTGAAGTACCAGCAAAGGAGTCTAACATAATTTGTAATAAAAACATAATGATCTCTTTTCTCCCCAGCTTTCCATGCTTTGTAAACAGAGGCGTTGCATTTGGAGGGTCAATCCATGTCATAAAATGTTAATTCTCCTCTTGGCTTTAGCGATGTGCAGCCCTCGGGAAGTCTCTGTTCACCCAGACTTCCCAATGTGTCATACGGATTTGCAGACCGGGTGCACGGGACAACAGCAGTCTCCAGCGTTAAGAGTAAKTGTGAAACGCGGGTAGGGGGCTTTAGGATGTTATTGTAAATGCTGTTTTTGGTGTTAACTCAGGTGCTTGTTTAAAGCCRCCGTTGGTACATGTGCAGTTGCTGTCTGGGAGGGCAGGCGCTTGGGCGGCCGCGCAGCTCAGGGCTGGGGCTCAGCTGGCGTGGGCCCTGCCTGCGGAAGGCAGGGCGAGCGCTTGGGCAAAACKGCCGCTGCCCTCCGACCAGCAGGGCAGCTGCAGCTTCCCAACAGCCTCTCCGCTGGGCGATGAGAACTCGGAAACTTTCCGCACACGGACCAGTCCCAATGAAGAAAGGCTTGGGGGGTGTGTGGGTCTCCAGCCTGGTGTTTGGCAGCTGTAACACTGGCTCCCTTGTGGGCATCATCACCATCATCCTGTGAAAGTGGGCACGTCCCGAGGGCGTGCGGCACTTGTGCGTTCCCTGTAACGGCCGGGCAGAACGTGGTGCCGCCGCAGTGAGAGCAGAGCGGGGGCAAGACCCCCRGATCCTTTTGTGCAGCTTCTCGCCGCCAGCTGCCCTTGCGCAGCCACAGGCGCCTCAGCAGCGACCGAGGCCCCTCCAGCCCCGGCGGCAGCGCCAGCGCGTTGGCTGAGCAGGGGCYTCCAGGGCAGCGCTGCTCTGACAGCCCCACTGCCACCCCCAGCCCCACTGCCACCACCGGCCCCACTGCCACCACTGGCGGCGTTTGCCTCGTCCCGGACAAGGCAACTGCATCGGCCTTAAAATACGCAGAAGAAAGCAGTACTGTGAGTACTCGGGAATAAAGTTCAGTAACCTTCCTTTTCTCCTGGGAGACAAAACCAAAAAACAAGCTTGCTCAAGAGGAAGTCATGGCAAAGCTCAAGTTTATTTAGTGACAGAAATGACTGTAACTTTATACAACTAACGCTAAATAAAAACAGCCAAATGTACAGATCAACTTCATTATGTACAGGAGTTCACTAGGCAGATGTGGTAAGTGGACACTTTCCACGAGCTTTATTTAAAAAAAATCTAATTAAATAAGATCTACTGCATGGCTGCAGCCTGGCCTCAACCAGGCTGCAGAAGACAGGGAAGCCTCTTCCCATCCTAGGCTCAGAACCTTAAGGCAACATCAGAGGTGCAGGAAGAGCCGGGCCCGGACTGACGCTCCCGCCGCAGCGTCAGAGCCCCCAGCTGCGGGATCCTGCCGCAGGCCGAGGGTGAAACCCCCCTGGCGCTGGTCTCCTGCTTTATTTTTCTCTCCGGGGGCCGGCCAGAAAGTCAGGAAGAGCCTTTCTACACGAGCTAACAAGGCTTTCAGATTTACTCTCTCCTTTTGTCTTCCTTATGTTGGGCAAATAAATAAATGCACCGAGGACGGAATTAAGGTGCTGATAATAGATTTGCRAGGTTACACATTAAATATACAAATAATGTCCTAACACTATTTACAGCTACTTTTATTAAACATCTCCTCACTTTAGTAATACACAATTATTAGTAAGATACAAACAGCCGAGTAAAATTTAAGGTTTACCTAGCAGTCCATTAAATCTTTTCCCATCATAAGGGCAGTAAGACCTGTTAATTTTACCTATGGTGTTTAAGCTTAAGCAGGATGGCTATCTCCAGATACTTGTCTATAAAAAGCATTTCTCAAGAATTACASCTGGCAGCATTTCAAGTATTGATTTTTGTTCCACCTGAACCAGCGCGGTGGCGAAGAGCTGCAGAACGTTTCAATAGCGGCCCTGCTTCTCTGGGGAGGGACTCTGACCTTGACAAGGTCCACACGTTAATCCAGCCCCAAGGCAGCAGCTCAAACTACCTATTGCTCATTTAAAAACAAAAACAAAACCAAGTCTACAACTGCTTATCTACATACCTACACAATGTAAAGAGAACTGCCCGTGCGCTAGCTCGGGAGGCAGAAAATCCATGAGTTAAGTCAGATGAAAGGTAGAAATATTCACTCAGAGGAGCTGGTTGGTTGCTCTGTCGGGCTGTTGTTCCACAGGTAGCGCCCAGCCGCTTGCATGGAAGCATTCCCAGTGTTTGGCCCCAACCCCCCAGGGCTCTCGCTGCAGCCAGGGGTGGGAAGCAGCCGGTGGGACTGTCACGAGCACCAGCAGCCCAGGAGCGCGCGGACAGGAACAGGAGCGCGTGGGGCTCCCAGGCGGGAACAGGGGCGCGCGGGGCTCCCGGGCGGGAACAGGGGCGCGTGGGGCTCCGGGACGGGAACAGGGGCGCGCGGACAGGAACAGGAGCGCGTGGGGCTCCCGGGCGGGAACAGGGGCGCGTGGGGCTCCGGGACGGGAMCAGGGGCGCGTGGGGCTCCGGGACGGGAMCAGGGGCGCGCGGGGCTCCCTCAGGGCGCCGCTGCACCGAGCTGCCTCCTGCCCTCCCGCGGTCCTGGCCCTGCAGCTTGGGCCTTGGAGCTGGGCTCAAACCCGCGGCTCTCCGTGCTGGCCAGGAGSAAACGCAGCAGCAGTTTTTTCTTTAGCGAGCGTTAAGCGGCACAGCAGGTAACGACCCTGCCTTGGCAGTGCTGTTAC